CATGTGAGTCTCCTAAAATGCTTTTCTTGATCTTCCTTTCTAGGATTCTCATTACATCTTGGGGTCTCCAGGTTTCCTTGAGCTCTGCAAAGCCCTTAGCCTACTCCCCAGTAATCCAACACACAGACTAAAACATTCCATACGTTTTTTTCCTAGAGATACTGAAGACTGCACCCAAGGCCTTCACAATGAACTATAGCGCTAATAGGCCCCCACTGCCATTTTTGGAGGCAGGGTCTTGCTAAGTCACTAGCTTGCCCAGGCTGGATTCAGATTTTCAGTCCTTCTGCCTCAGCCTCCCAGAGTGCTGGGATTATAGGCATGCACCACTGTGCCCAGCATCCATACTGTTCTTGCCCCCTATGAACACAAACTGGCCCCAGAAAGACAAGAAAGGAAGACAACCAAGCCTGTTAAATTCCTGAAGACTCATTTCCTGCTTTCCTTAGGTCCTTCCCACCCACTCCTGACTGTCCCGGTGGGTGGCATCCTTGACCCATCTCCAAGCAGTCCACAGTTGCCCAGCCCAGTCATACCTCCTTATGAAGGTACCCATTGTCTCACACCTCTTCTGCTTCTTTCTGTCTAACTCAGCTTTGCAGCCTAAATTTATTTTTTCTCACTTGGTCTCCAGCAGCATCAGAGAAGCCTCCCCTGACTAACTGGGGGACAGGTAGCAAATTCTACCCTTGTCTGTCTGAGTAGGCACCCCACTCACTAGCCACTTTTAAACATGCCTCTTTCCCATAGCAGTGTACTGTCATTCACTCTGGCTCACTGTCTGCATGTTCTTGATCTCTGTCAGCCCCTGTGATGTCTGGGTTACACTGAGACGTCCTAGAGGGCAGGGCCACGTTACTGTGTATCTCCAGCCCCTGCTCAGCAGAGCAGCAGGGATTGGTAGGCACTTAATAAAGACTTTGGTAGTTGAAACAGATGAACAGCACTCCATGCCCAGAGCATTGTAAGTGCAAAAGAAGCTATCCACATCCACAGCCAGCCCTACTGCCAACCCTTGAGCGGGGGCACTTTTGCAATAAAGCAAGGAAGGCACTCTTTCGCATCTGAGAGAATAATAACAATAACAAGCCCTGTGACAGCACTGCTCTTGTTGTATTGACTGATTTGATGGTCAAAATCATCTTATGAAATAGGAAAGATCATTATTTTACAAATGAAGAATCTGAGGCACAGAGAGCCCAGGTGAGGTGGTGCATGCCTATAACCTCAGCATCTAGGAGGCTGAGGCAGAAGGACTGCCATGAATTTGAGGTTAGTTTGGGCTACATAGCGAGTTCAAGGCTAGCCTGAGCTAAACAGTGAGATCCCGTCTCAAAAAAACAACAAAAAAAAGTGAGGCATAGATCGGCTATGTGACTTGTCCAGCTCTCCAACTGGGGCCATCTAGTTTTGGAAACCTCAGCTTGCATACCATGGTACACTGTCCCTTGACATTGACTAGTGCAGCTTCAGCCACAAGTGCAGAGTGAAGGAGTGCCAGGGGGCTCTTGCCCTGCACTCTCAGGGGTCTCCACCCCTGTCCCACATAAACCAATGAGTGAGAGAAGGAAGGTTGCTCCCCAATTACTTTCCAGCCAAGGGCCAAGTGGGTTCTCTAAGCATTTGTTCATAGCCCATCCCTCTCTCTTGTCTTGTCTTCTCTTGTTTTTCAGACATGCAAAGCATGTTCACATTCAGGCTTTTGAGCTTGCCATTTCATCCACCTGGAATGCTCTTTATCAGATCTGCACATTGCTGGGTCCTTCTGATTATTTAGGTATGAGCCCAGAGGGAAAATTCGGGAAGGGGTTTCCCCGATCACTCTATCACCTATGACTGTATCTTTGCCACCCCCTCCCTTTCACTCAGGACTAACTCATTCTCCTGTTTTGTTTTGGTTTCAACTCACTTGACCTCACCATAGCATTCCATACTATGAAAAAATCACCTTAATCCCGAATTTACTTGTTAGTTTTTGTGTGTCACCACTGGACTGTCAGCTTCTGGACAGCAGCAATATCATCTCTTCTGCTCACTCCTGGGTATTTGGTGCCTGATACAGGATCTGGTACATGGTGGTTTCCCAGTATGTGTTTGTTAAATAAACCATTGATGAATAAATGAATGAATGCAATGTCCTTTGTAGATCTGTGCAAAAGTGGAACTAGCTGGGTCTTCCTGCTGCCTTTTATCACCATATAGTTTTCAGGAAGAGACCAACTCTTTGTTTTTGGCAGTCTTTTAGATCCTAGAGGAGTTTCAAATAATTAGAGCGATGGGTGAGAGGTTTCTAATCCTTTGTTTAAGCAAGAGGAAGACCAAGACATTAAGCTACTCTGACTGAAGACTGCTCTCCCTGTAGGTCTATGTGTAGGCCATGGTTAGACAGCTCTCTCCCTGAATGGAAACTGAAATACAAAAATTTCAGCCTGCCCCTTTTCCTTCTCCTTCCTTCCTCTCTCTTTTTCCTCTCCATCTCCATCTCACTTCCTTCTCTCAAGTTCCCCCATCTCTTTTTTGTTTCTCCTTCTGTACTTACTGTATATAAAAGCAAGAAGGAAGTGGGAAACCATGTTCTTTGCATCTAACTGTAGCACTCACATGACTCTGATTGCCACTGTAACACAATCCCATTAAAACCTCTTGGTTCCCGACAAAGTAAACCCCCCAAACATAATAATTATATGTAGGAAGTACTTGATTTGATCTAGTCTTTTTTTTTATTTGATCTAGTCTTAATGCAGTCATGACCCCTTATTCCTTCCACATAATAGAGCCTATTCTTTCATTGGTGTTCGCTCTGTTATTCAAAGCTTTATTTATGACACATAGTAAAAATAATGAACCAGAATAGAAAGCTCCTAACCTTTGACCAGACTATGTATAGTTGTCACATGAGGGCATTTCACAATACTGCTAGTGACCCCTCTTTTTCTTTCTTTTCTCAATAAAATACAGTTTTTCTATGACTAAAATATATGCTTTTTATATATTAATCTCTTCCAAGGAATTTTTACACTTGCTGTCTTCTGGCTTCAACCATAAGAAAAGGAGTAGAACAACAAATGGTGTCTCACAGAAGTTGGAAAAGAGGCCTAGAAGCATAAAGGTATTTGAAGAAGTTCACACAGCAGGTGAAATATTATTCCAGGACACAGTCCAAGTCCTGCCATTTTCTAGGCACCAGTGTACACTTGCCAGAAGGTACATTCCCAGCAGCCCCTGTGACGTGCATACCTGAACCAGTCCATGTAGAAGAAGAGAGACATAGCCTAGGAAGTTAGGAAACTATGTTATTCTTTCTTTTGGAAAAGATGAGACTCCTGACTCAGGCAAGATCCTGACACAGAGCACCCCAAAGTAAGGCTCACTATTGCTGGGAGCCAAGCCACCCTACCTTATAGCTCTGCCAGAGGCTCAGCTGGAGGTGGAGAAAAGAAAAGCACTTGGCAGCAACCTGGACCTTTTCGCCTACCAGGAGTTTTCAACTCTGGGCAATATTTCATTTGGTGCTTCAGGTAATCCTAGTTGCAAGAAGGGGAAACCTGTGCCTTAAGCTCTCAGAGAGATTTATTCATACTAAGATCAATCTCATTGCCCCTCATAATGTCCAGGATGCTGCTGCAGGCATCATCAATCCCCAAAGTGCTTTGTGTTCACAGCAAAGAGAAAAAAATGAGTGAAATGTCAGTTAAGTCTGCATCTCACAAGCAAGCAGTCCTCAAGAACCAGGGCCAGTCAGAAGCACCAGCATGGCATCCTAACACATAGCCATTTGTTCAAGGAGCACTCAGAAGTATTCCCTGCACTTCAGGCAACTACTGAAGTGGCTAATTTGAGTGCATATCCCTGCCCATGTTGGATATTCCTTTTCCTGCACCACTTGTCAAACATTCCTTTTCCTGTACCACTAACAAGGTCAGATTTTCAAGTGAGCCTTTTCTGTCTGGGAAGGAAAGTCTTAAGAAATGTATACTGCTATCAAGCATTGCAAATACTAAGTTGTAAGTGGAGTAAGTAAGATATCTGAATGGAGAAGGTAGGGAGAACCCACGGGACTTGAGAAAACTCTGTTCCAAGAGATACTTGGCATCCCCCATCCTAGATGGGCAAAGTTAAGGGGCACCCTAATTTGATGTACTTTAAGCCTGAGATGGAGACTTGTGTGGTAAATTTCACTACTTCCCTCTTTTTCCTTCTCTATGTCCCTTAAACACACTGTCATCCAGACTTACTGATTTGCTTTCAACATAAGAAAACAGGTTGCAAAATAGCCATTAGGAAGTGTCTTAGCAAACTGAAGTAGTTTCAGAGTTAAAAACAGGCTTATTGGATTTCAACCTGTAAAAGCAGGGAAAGAGGACAAGATCTGGGCACTTTCAAACAGGGAAAAAGTTTGAATGTGGGGCTGAAGATGGCGTGGGGGAATGTTACCAACAAGAAATCAGCTAAAAGAATATCTTGAAAACAAGCATCAATACATCACCAAATCTCTTCATTTCACTCCTTTGGGTCATCTATTCTGAGGACACGTATGGAATTTTTTGGATGGAATTGAAGATATTAACACTGGGAAGAAAATGTAAAAAGTGGAATATAACTGAGCCACCAAGGAGGCTTCATCAGGGGCCAGACACCTACTGGGCAAACTTTACAAGAAATAGCACTGAGGAGCTCTCAAAACTTAGTCTTAACTTTGAGTGGCAGTGCATGTCTGTCATCCCAGCACTGCGGCAGGCTGAGGCAGGAGGATCACAAGTTTGAGCCCACCTCAGGCAACTTAGTGACTTATTGAGATTCCAAAAAAAAAAAGAAAGAAAAAAGAAAAGAGTCTAGGGATATGGAATATGGTCGGTGTGAAAGCCCTGGGTTCAACCCTCAGTACTAGGGGAAAAAATAGTACAGTCCTGACATTAGCAACAGCATAATCGTTCCCCAGAACAAGCAGACGAATAGCAATCCATAAGACAGAGAAAAAGGAGGACAAAAAAGAGACTCACCTGTTCTGGTCCCTGGAAGCAAATTCGACAGAGTGGGGTCCTCATACCACTGTCCAGGCTGCTGCCCAGTGAGTAGCAATCCTCAGCCTTCTCCTTGCAGAAGTCATCCGAAGAGGCACTGCTGAGCAGTGAGGCAGGTGGTTCTGTGGCTGGGCCGCCCCAGTCATCTTCCACAGAAGGTGGCAAAGGTGGTGGAAGTGGCAGAGGAGGGGTCTCCCTGCTCACCACTTCTCGAGGCCCCCTCCAGCCTGCCCACCCCCCGGCACCCAGAGCCGGAAGGGTGTTATTGTTGGCTGCCAAAATGGGGGGCTGGGGGTCACCGTGCATGGGCTGGGGCGCTGGAGGGGGGCGCCGCAGAAGGAAAACCTTCAGGTCATTGAAGAGCATGCGGCAGCGGCACTTGAGGAGACCCTGGTGGCGTAACATTTGGGGGGCTGGGGTGCACAGTCCACAGCGGTACCAGCCACAGCAGCAGGAGCACCACCACCAGCAGCACAGCAGCCCACCCAGGGGCATCAGCATGTGCCCAGAGGGAGAGAACCCAAGAGGGACAGTTGGAGTCTTCGAAGAGGTGGGTACGAGGGGGCTTGGGGTCCCAACTGTTTCTTTGTTATGGGAAGAATCTCCTTTCTCACGGGCTTCTTGCAACCTCTTCAAGCAGTAAATAAATTGCTCCAAGAACTGAGAATTGGGAATCACTGATACTGAACTCTAGCTGGAAAAGGCAAAACAGGTTTTTCTTGCTCTTGCAGCCCCATCCCAACCTCAGACTTTGCTCAAGGTGCTTCCTTTCTGCCTTTGGCCCCAGGACACTAGTAGGAGAGGCGATAGAGGAGGCCTTGAGGCTGAACTGTTAAGAGATCAACTGCTCAGATCAACGTCTGATTCTTAAAAGTTCCCCAGGAAAGGGTTGCTGGGTTCTTCTCAAATCCCTAGGTGGTGGTAAATCTCTTCCTTTTATATGAAAGGGTGAGAGGAAGATTATAAATCGAATTCGGAGTGGGTTGAGATGGGCTTAGAGAAAACTAGCTCGATAAAGAATTGAGGGGTGCATATATGAGACAGAGAGAGAGAGAGAGAGAGAGAGAGGGAAAAGATAGTTCTTCTCAGGCTGTAGGAGGCTGGTAGGGTGGGGGGAAGATGGGGAGGAGATGGGGTTCGGAGAAGTTTTAATTCTCCAGGGCAGGAAACTGGGGCAATTAACCCCTAGAAGCACCACAGTTGCTTTTAAGAGAACCGTTGGGTGGGGGACAGGAGGCTGCGGGTGAACTTGGGGAAGGGGATTGTGCTTTGCCTATGCAGCCAAAGGGCTACGCAGAGGTGGGTAAAGCCAGCCTGGCAAATAGAGCTGGGAGAACAGCGGGGTGGGCAGAGAGAAAGGAGGAGAGAAAGAGGTCGTGTATCCCTCGCAGAGCCACGTCCTTCCTGAGCGTTAAGATCTTGGCTAGAGGAAGGGTGTGTGTATGGGCAGGACAGGTGGTGGGGCAGAGAAAAGCGGTAGAGAAGAGGGGCGTGTGGGAGGGGACGGGAAAGGAATAGTTACATTATCGCAGCCCCTAGCCCGCTCCTGCTGCAGTCTGTAAATCCGTGGCCCCCTCCCCGTGGTTCCATCAAAGCTCCCTTCGGACGAGGTGGAAGAGCGAGGAAAAGGGCCGGTCCGTGCAGGCGAGCGGCCTCGCCGTCTCCTCGGCTTCCTTCTCTGGGTCGCTGTCGCCCTCCCGGTCCTGCTCCGGGGCGGCCCGAGCCCGCAGACGCTCGCGTGGCGGCAGAGGCGACTGCTGGTCGGCGTCCGGGTGTCTCCGGGGCGGGGGCTGCTCCGGCTCGTCCTCTGGCTGCTGCTGCCCGCCGTCCGGCGCGGTCGCGACTCCTGGCTTCATGGTCTTTCCTCTCCTCCTCCTCCTTCCCGGGGGGCCAGCTTTGAGCCCCCGCGCCCGGGCAGTGCTGCCATGCAACCAGAGGCGAGGCGGGCGTGGGGGCGGGGGCGGTGCGACTGGGGGGGAATGAAAACCGAAATACCACTAATGCAATAATTCGCTTCTCAAATGATCCGGAGAGTGCGTCTGGTGGGTGGGGGCGGAGGAGGGCGGCTGCCGGGTCTTCTCGGCAGCTCTGCCCCCTGCCCCCACCGAGGGCGGCCCCGCGGGCTCTCCGCCTCCACCCCCGCGCGCCCCTCCCTCTGTCCCTGCCGCCGCTGGCTGGGCTCGGTTGCTACCTCTCCTCGCAGATGCAGCGAGGTGAGGCTGGTGTGCGGTGCCAGCTGAGGGGAGGGGAAAGCGAAGCCGTGTGGCCCAGGTGGGAGGCAGCCGGCACTTGGTTCCAGCTTGGTCTTCGAGATTCCCTAAACCGTGAATAAATATATCTCTTCTGAAAGCCGAAAGCAAGCCAAGCGGATTCTCGGCTGCTGCCAGGTGTTGTCTTCCGCCGTTGCTCAGCACCCGCCGCCGCGAATGCTGCCCCCTTGGCTCAGTTCCCAAAGGGGTGGGGCTTCAAGGAAGGTGTCGGGGTGCTGAGCCGACGGTCCGAGGACTGGAAACAAGGTTCTCGGAGCGGAGAAGGCCACCGGTTATCTCCACCTCCGCGGCCGTGGCCGCCGCTGCATTCAGCACCCGGGTGAGTGGACAGCTCCCACCCAGACTCCGCGTCACGCTAGTGGGGGCCTGACGCAGACGCCGCGGAGGGATGGAGGAGGGAAAGACTAGAGGGAGAGGGAGCAAGAGGAGGAGAAAAGAACTGTACGAGGGAAGGGGTTGGGGAGGTAACGGAGGGCGGGAGAGACGTAGGGAGTGAGGGAGGAAAGAGTGACAAGGAAGAGCCAGAATGCCAACTGGGATGGAGGGGAGTGAATCAGGTACTAACTCTTGCATTTCCCCCAGCTGGAAAGTATCAGTGTGGATGGTACTGTTTGCAGATTTCTGCCCACTGTACACTATCACCGCTGCGTTCAATGCACACGCAGACACCCACCTCTCCCCCAGAGTCCATTTCGATGTTCATATAAACATTTGGAGTAGCTGGTCAGTCTGCAAGCTCGGAAGGAAAAGTTTTGTGACTTGCACGGAAGCTGAGATTTGATGGAGACTAAGTCCCTCCAGACTAAGACCTCATAGGAGAAAGGAATGCTTCACACCTTCACGCAAAGAGGAGCATGCTAGCACTGCTTCTGACAATCTCTCCCTCTAGAATTTAAACTCCCGAGGGCAGGGTGTTTTCTTGTTTGTTTGGATGGTTGGTTTTGCTCCATTTTGATCCTGTGTGAGTAAGTCAATGGCGGGTAGTAGGATAAATCTTTGTTAAATGGCTTGTGGCCACCATCTCCGTAGTCATCGTCACTCCAAGTCTAGTCTTCTTTCAGTTGTGTGTCATAAGAATCCAGAGGAAATATTATAGCCTCTTCTTAAGCAGTACCCCCTCCCCGTCCAAGCCATTCACTGAGGAACTGTCAAGGAGTAATTTGAAATGGATTTTAATTTCCTCTCCTTTTTCTGTTTCTGAATCATGTCACCTTACTTTATCCTTCTCAAGGAGTTTATAGTAAGCAGAAAAATATCCTTAAATGTGAAGGCCTAGAAAAAGAAACTTAAAGTGATCTGCATAAATATTTAGTATTTGCAGCTGTGGACTTTGATAATTTAAAAATTCGGATTACTTTCTTGCTTTTTCTCAGAAATACCTCACTCAGGGCTGGGGATTTAGCTCAGTGGTTCTATCACCTGCCTCGCAAGCACAAGGACCTGAGTTCCATCCCTAGTACCCTAGTACCCCCTCAAAAAACCAAAACAAAACATAAATATCTCACTCACACACACACACACACACACACACACACACATACACACAGAGACAGAAGACCCTTCTAGGGTCATAGACTTCAAGAAGACATTCCAATGAGTCATCTACACAGCTGTGCCAATGCCTTTAGAAATACTGGAGCCATAGACAGAATAGCACACAAGATCTCTGGACTGAAATATCACTGGGATGAAGTTCAGCCAATGAATCATAAGAAAATGACCCCTTTGCTGACATCTCCATGAATGATTCATTTCTATAAGCTCTAAGGAGCAAGGACCTGCATCTTGATCTTGATTAACCCAGCATGGCATGTGTCTGAGTCAGGCCCCAGCATCTTTTATGGATGCTGAGACCCTGCCCAAGGTGAATTGCTTGAAAATGATGCTGATGCTCTTAATAACTCCAAAATAATACTCAAATTATTGGTATCTGCATGAACACTGTGCTGCAAAGACAACTTTATTTAAAAGCGTCTGTATTCTATATCACCCTGTGTCTGCTTCTGGCTTTGTGCAAATAGCTTTCTATAGAAATTATCTCATCATCCATTCATCCCTCTTCATATGACTCAGAGCTCCTTGAAAGAAACCATATTTATGTTTCTATGAGCAGCACGGAACACTGTATCTGAAGTCCAGTATATGATCAAGAAAATGCCTCTAAATGAATGGATGGTCTTTTTGTCTTAGTGAAGCTAAATATTTCTCTCCTTCAGTCTAGACACATTCATGTGAATGCTTTCATACGTGACTGAAGATCTGCTTCATCCAAAATTGAGTTTTGGCATTTTATGCTGATAAAATGCTTGATTCAACTATGTTGTCAAGTAAATGAGCAGGAAATAGAAAGGTCATATGAAGCCTACATTCAGACTCTTAGAAATAGGTGAAGTCCCCTTCCACTGAAAGTGAAAAGATTTTCATGAAATGAAAGCTGCTAAGGATGTGAAAAAACAGTAGGATTAACTTCAGAAAGATTGAGGGGCCTGAGAGTTCTGTTTTGAATATAATAGAAATATGGAGAAATATCTCACTGAGTTAAATTCTCCCTTTGTTAATATTAAATCATGAATTCCAAGAGTAAAAAACAACCACAAAGAAGGGATCAAATCAAAGGGTCTCCATTTAAACATTCAAAAAATATTTACTGAACACCAGTCATAGACAAGGTATTGTGGAGAATATGAAGAGCACAAAAATGAATTGGATGGACTGCATCCTCAAGGACCTTGTACTATAAATATATAATCATAATATAAGGTATAAAATAATAAGTGCTACCAAGGTATAAAAAGTTTTAGAAGTGTTTCGAATAGGAAGGTAATAATTGCAGCTTGGCAGCAATTTGGAGAGGTGGGAAGGGAAGTAGGTGGAGGTAGATGACAGAGCTCTGGGAAAGCCTTTTCCAAGAAATGCCATTTGAACTAAGTTAAAATATGTAGAATTCAGAGTAAGGAAGCATATTCTTAGCTATGGGAACACTTTCACTCTTCCATTTGGCTGGGCTGGAGTGACTGAGGGTAAGTAGCTAGAAATAAAGGTAGACTGGAGCCAGATTACAGAAGGGCCTAAATGCTACTCTGGGAGAAGATTTATTCATTGACCAGGAACTTGTTTTAATGGTTTTAAAGATTTGGAGCTGAAGGTGAAGGGCAAAAATAAACTTTATCACTGAGCAGGTTAATTAACTGGATGGGATTTCATTGCTAACAGGTGGGAAGCAATCAATATTTTTCATTCCACACCAGAAA